GGCAAACACCTGCGCCAGACCACGAAGCTGACCCGTCTTGCCAGACGCATGTGCAGGGACCTGTTACAGCCGAGGAGGGCCGCCCGACGACCCTATGCCCCTATCAATGCCAATGCCATCAAGGCAGAGTGTAAGGGCAGGGGCGCTAGGGCTAGTGGCAGGTTCGGGGTTGCCCTGGCCAGAGACCGGTGTTTTATCTGGATGTTTAAGTGACAGTAGGGATAGTAGGCCACAGGGGTTTGTTAAGAAATTAGACGTGGCTCCTGGCCCCAGGAGAGGCCTGAATAGCGAAGCCCCTTTAAGAGCTTTCATCTTCGTTCTCCAGGCTCCATTCGACTTCCTAAGGCTTCCAAGACTCCACTGAAGATTCACCCTCTGGTGCGGTTGCCCCTGGCAACTATCGTCAAAGATCTGGGTATGGGTTGGGGCACCAGATTGTGGGTATGGGGCGGGTGGAGGATGGGCGCTGCGGGCTCTCAGTCCTTTTACTATCAAAACCTTTTCTCCCCTGCTTTTTTCTTTCCCATTCAGTCCTAAGAGGTTCAGTCTAACAAATTATACTGTTGTAGGTTAACAGTGTTTTCTCATAAGGTCTTCAGTGTGAGTACTGATTTGACAAGATCACACTCCTGTGTGATTATTGAGATACTAGTTAAGTTTTTGAGGATTCAAAAGCTATATTTAGAACTTTGACTGCGTGAGAGGGGCCGATGTCCCTGGCCCCCGGTGTCGTTCAAGGGTTAACTGTACTGCGTACTGGTAATTGCTTGTCAGACTGCTGCCCCATCACTACTTTTGGGGATGCCCAGGGAAACTGCGTAGAGAAAAGAAAGTATGAAAGTTCTCCAAGTTTTGTTTTCTCATTTTTCCTGGCAGTGGCCCAGGCACCTCTGAAACCAAAAACACCTCGGGGTACCAAGACACCGATCAACAGAAACCAGCTGACCCAGAACCGGGGCCTGGGGGGCATTATGGTGAAACGGGCCTATGAGACTGTGAGTTGACAGACTGGAGTGAGCCAAGCTGAGTTGGGTGGGCTTTCATTTCTGTTAGGAGCCTGAGAGAGTCCCTCTCGTTGTGTTGCCCTACCCTTTCCAGATGGTAGGAGTCCCCTTTTCTGCCAATGGAAGGCCTCTGGCCTCAGGGATTCGCTCAAGCTCACAGCCCGCCGCCAAGCGACAGAAACTAAACCCAGCTGATGCCCCCAATCCTGTGGTGTTTGTGGCCACAAAAGATACCAGGTACGGAGCCCACTGTGGGAGCAGCTGAGAGGTTGACAACGCAGTTTGGCGGGTGCGGGAAATAGAGTTTCTGACAAGACCAGCTCCCAGGAGACTGGGTGCAGGGTGGGGATGCCAGAAAAGAAAGGGCCAGGAGAATTGCAGTGTGGAATTCTTCTCGAGAATCTTATCCTTCTTGATTCCCCTCTTTTCCCGGCCAGGGCCCTGCGGAAGGCTCTGACCCACCTGGAAATGCGGCGAGCTGCCCGCAGGCCCAACTTGCCCCTGAAGGTGAAGCCACCGCTGATTGCAGTGCGGCCCCCAGTTCCTCTACCTGCACCCTCACATCCTGCCAGCACCAATGAGCCCATTGTCCTGGAGGACTGAGCAGCTGTGGGGAAGGGAGGTGGGCTGAAAGCTAGAGGGTGGGTGCCCAGGGCACCCGAGTTCTCTTCCTTCTAGTATAAAGGGACTGAGGAGTGAGGGAGGGAGCAAGTGTGTGTCCTTGAAGGGGTTGGGCGCCCTCTGGTGTTACCACTTCAAGGCTTGTCCCCTTCCCGTGTTTCCCCATGCCTGGTGATGGAAGGCAGACTGCAGGAACTTGGCCCACTGTGGGAACCTAGCCTGTTTTGGGGGGTAGGACCCACAGTTGTCTTGGACAGTTTTAGGGGGAGGGTTTTTTAATTTTTTAAAAATTTTGCCTCCCTTTGTGAAAGGGGATGGGGGAGGGGAAGAGTAAACATCAGGTGGTGGTACCTGTTTGGGGGAGGGGGGTGTGCACTGCCATGACTGCCATGTCTATCCTTTTTTTTTTTTTTTCTAATTGGGGGTTTCTCTTCCTGTTTGGTGTCCTTAGGAAACTAAGGAGTTTTGAGGCCCCTAAGCTGGCATCAACCCCAGCCCATGCTCGCTATTTCCTTCCCTTATCCCCTCTGCCTTTTGTACGCCAATTCTCAGAAATAAAGATCTTTTTGTCCATTTTTTTAACCTTGGATTCTGTAATTGGTTCTTATAGTAACAAATAAAAAGCTGTTTTCTTCAGCTCCTCCTGGTTTAACTGTTTTCTGCCTTGGATGTGTGTGTGTGTGTGTGTGCGCGCGGGGGTGGGGTGTCTTCAATTGGGAAAATATAAGGACAAAGGACAATAAAGTACAGATGGGTCTTGCCCTGGGAACAGCTTTATGAGATATGCAGCCTGTTCCATCTAGCTTTTTTTTTTTTTTTTTTTTTTGGCTGGGTACAGTGAATTTTATTATAACAAGCTTGGGCTCCCTAAGCCCCTGGTTAGCTCGTGGGGCCCAAACTGCTCCCCAGTTTCCTGTGGTGCTGAATACCATCTTGGCGCAGGTTCATTCAAAGTAGTTGGGATGAGCCGGTTCTCTGGGTGGCACACCTCCATAGGTAGAGGGTATGTGTGATTATGTTTCTCTATGTCCCAACTCTTAATCCCCTCTCCCTTAGGGAATTCTTGGAGTTGCTAGAGGCCAGGGCAAGACACAGCCCACCTTTAGGGGTACTGCAAGATTGTAACCACCTAGCTACGTGCTGCTTCATGGGTCCCCAATACCAGCCTCAGCAACTGCCTTAATATTAGGGTCCATTCAGGCAGTTTCCTGCCTTTTCAGGTTTGGGAAACAGATGACACACCTGAGCTAGGCCCAGCAGAAGCATCTTAGGAGGAAACAAGTCTATTATGTGCTCCTTGGGCACTTCCTTTAGAAATGGGGAACAGCTTCAGCAGTTGTGACTTGCTTGAGGTTACAGACCTTGTGAAGTTTGCCTTAGGTCCATTGCTCTTTCCAGTCTATAGCTGTGAGCTGATAACCACAGCAAGAGCTGCTTAGCCCATCTGTCAGTCCTCTCTGTCTCATTGTCCCAGTCCCTAGGACCTCCTTAGCTCCCTTACTCTCCCGAGCTGACACCTGTAGTGTCAGGGTGAACTGACCACTATACCAGTCCGGGGAAAAGTAGAACTTTCCAATGTCTTAACTCAGTTGCCACCATAGTAGATTCCGTCGCATTCCTTAAAGTGGGCGGATGGCTCTGGAGCCTCGTGAGTGCACTTCATGAAGCCCATTATTGCGGAAGGAAAGCTCGGCTCACCCGGACCGCAGTGATCTGGCTGTGGCCCCTTAGAAGGTGACCGGTGGGGGCAGAGCTCTCCAACAAGGGTTGGAAAGCGGTCGCAAAACACCCATTTGTGAGGAGGACCGAAGGCAGAGGGAGAGGGTAACAGCACTGAGGAGGTTGGGAGTCTAGGGACAGCCCTGGGCTTCGTGGAGGCTGCTCATCCTCCGCCTTTATTCGCTAAGTAAACGTGGAGTTGAGGATACAGTCGCGCGGGTCTGTACTGCCTCTTGAAACGGAACAGCCTTCCCGCGACCACCTGCGACGAAACGTCTGGCTGTCAACCCGGCGCACGCCTTTGTGACTGCTGTTATGAATATTCACAATTCTTTGGGCCAATCAGCGCCTGCACAGCTCAGCACACCAATCGGCTTGCCGCATAAGGATAAGCATCGTAGATAGGCTTTTGCAGAAGCCCTCAGAGCCTTAACACGTGAAACGGAACTCTGAGTTGAAGGAACCTGGTTTCCGGGGGAGTGTTGCCCGCGCGATTAGCCGTTTTACGTCACTTCCTTCCGAACCGGCGGAAGTGGTTCCGAGCGCGTTGCGTTCTGGAAGAGTGAGTGCCGGTGGTGGCAGAAGTGGTTGCATTTGGTCGGTACCGGGGAGTCGCGATGGCGGCGGTGGATTCAGATGTCGAATCGCTGCCCCGTGGGGGTTTCCGCTGCCGCCTCTGCCACATCACTACAGCCAACCGTAAGCGGTGGCTAGTGTTGGGGGGGAGTGGTTGTTGGCTTTCATCTTTGGGTCCTAGCGAAAGTTAGGGTTACAGGTCGTAGGTCTTGTCAAGTCGGTTGACAGAGTCACCTGCCTTTCCGTTTTCACTCCGCCCGTCCCAAGGGATTAGAGAGTGGAGAAAGTCCCATCACCTTCCACCCCTCCTTCCTAGGATCTGAAATCTCCACGACGAAGGTTTCGTTACTTTATTCCCTCTTTAACCGTCACGTATTGAACATCCCTTTTGTGCCTGGTACTCTGCTGGGCTCAAGAGTGGGGAGAGCGGATTCAGAAAAGGAGCTCACCATCTAGAAGTGGAGACAATGTCAATGCTCTATAGATATGTTTGGGGAGCTGTGGGATCACAGACAAGGTAGTAATTTAAGTCAGGGAAACCCTCCGAAGGACGTACCCAAAGGCAGAGACGGGTGAAGTAGCATGGCATGCAGGACTGGAAGGTGGGTTTGGAAAACTTGGCAAGATCCTTGTATGACAGCGCAGGGGACTCAGTGAAACCTCAGATTTCACTTTTGAAGTCTGGAATCATGCTATTCCCTAAACAGGATCTCCCATTCTTCTTTCCCTTTATGAACGGCACTACCGCTGTTTGTCCAGGTGGACCAGCCAGAAATGCAGGATAGTCTCCCCAGGCCCCACATAGACATTGTTGACATCAAGCAGCTGACTCAAAATGTAATTGGAATGAAAATGGCAGCTAAACTTTTCCTATATTCACCATGTACCAGACTCTTTGCCAGGTGCTATATATGAATAATACCTTTTTGTTATATACTATTATTATCTCATATCTGAGGAAACTGATGCACAGAGATTAAATAAGTTGCCCAAGATCTCACACAGCTTGATAGAGCTGGCATTTGAACTTGGGCAGTGTGTCTTTAGATCTTGCACTTGCAATCTTTTTACTCAGAGATGATGCATGGGAAATAGTGTAGCATCCTGGTACATTTAGTTCTATATATGACTTGGATAGCTTACCTGTTAATTTGTTTACAATATGCAGGTCTCGCTCTACCTAACACTTAGAGATGGTTTAAGAAATACTCGTAGTGTAGTCAATTCTCTTGGGAACCACTTAGAATGTACTATACCCATGGCCAGATGGACAAGAGAGGAAAGTGAAAGGAGCCAGGACTTTGTTTATTCAAAGGTCACACTGTCTATAGCTGGAATTATCAGCAGGATTTAGATATGCAGAGAACAAAGTCAGGGCAGGTACATCGAAGAGTGATTGTTTTTTTTTTTTTTCCCCTCACATTTGTCTTTGCAGGACCCAGCCTAGATGCCCACTTGGGAGGCAGGAAGCACCGGCATCTGGTAGAACTACGAGCTGCCCGAAAGGCCCAGGGACTTCGAAGTGTGTTTGTCAGTGGCTTTCCCCAGAATGTGGATTCTACTGAGCTCTCTGAGTACTTCCAGGCATTTGGACCTGTGGCCAGTGTCGTCATGGATAAGGACAAGGTAGAGTGCATGGCTCTGGGGGTACAGAAATGAGTCAGGTGCGCCTCATTCCAAACGAAATGAGAGAGAAACCAGGAGTCTGTTTTTGGCTGGTTCCTAATTTGCCTTGTCTATGGTGGAGACTATAGTATGTGGACTAGTCCAGCTTTGTGAGCATCCCCCAACTTGAATTTTCTCAGTTCGTCAGAGTTAGTCACTGGGGGACTTGTTGGTCATTTATTTATCCACTCAATCTTTTATTTGCCAAATATTTTATTTGCCATCTGCTAACTTTGTGCTAGGCACTGTGCTTAGAGCTGCATTCTGAGTAGTGAGTAGGATCGACATGGCCCTGCTCACACAAGGCTTACAGTCTAGTGGAGAAAGTCAACAGTTAAATGAGTAATTACAGTGAAGTAGGTGCTTTAAAACCACACCCTTGGGAGACTTATCCTAACCCCACAAGAGACTTGTTCTTAAACCAGCTAGAAGTTTATTAACATACTGAGAGGTACTGAGGTTATCTGGTTAGAACACGCTGTCCTCTGCACAGTGCTGGACAAACAAGCTTGTTCTTTGCGGTCCTTTCTGTCTTGCTTCCATGCAGACTTTTGTCAATGTCTCTTTAGTCCCTTGGGAAAAGTTCAGTGTTGCCGCGCTGTGTTCTGTGATCATATCTCTGTTCCCAGGCTGCACTCTTGTTATGTAGGTGTGGTTAGGGCATCCCAAATCTCCTCAGCATTCTAGGTCTCCTTTTAGGATGGGGTGGGATCTGTTTTTCTTGGGGATTGCATTCAGCAGCTGACCCACAATATTTTAAACAAAAGGGGTTCAATTGTTCCCTTTTAACAAGAGATCCAGACCTGGGAAGTCCAGGGTTTTACTGTATTCCTGCTCTGTCATTATTGGCATGTGGCTCTTACTTCATAGATGTGATAATGTCACTTCCATATCTTGGGCCAGGAAGAAGGGGCAGGTCGAAGGGCCAAGTATAAAAGGCTAGTGCCAGCTGAGTCTGACCTCCCTGCTCCTCTGTATTTCCTGGGAAAATACCTTTTCCAGAGGCCTCTTCAGTAGACCTCTCCTGATAACAATAATGACAATAATTTTTATTGAGCAGTTATCATGCACCAGTTATGTGCTAAGTATTTTACAGACAGTATCTTATTTACTCTCCACGACATTTCTTTGAGGGAGCGCATCACTGGGAAGTTGGAGATTTGGGGGTTTAAGCCTTTGCTTGGGAGGCAGTGACAAGTTACATAACTTCTCTGTGTTTTAGTTTCTTAATTTGTAAAATGTGAATGGTCTGTCTCGTAGGAGTCTTATGAGACTTAGAAATTGTTTATGTGAACTGCTTGGTTTAAAACAAGCCCTCAAGAAGCTCTACGTGGGGTTACTGGTATTGAGAGGAGAAAAATGGCTAGGATGCACACTTCGGAACCTTAATCCTACCCTCCCTGACGCCTTCTAAGGGGTTCTTGAGGGAAATATGTACACAAAGACGAGGGCAGGCAAAAGGACACCTAAGTTCCAATGGGGCTTTGGTCGCACACTTGGTGTTGAGCTGCAGTGTGGTGAGCCGTGTGATTTTTCAGAGTCAGAAGATTAATTTGGGCAGGTCCAAGTGGCTGCCTTTCTCTCTGGTTTCACGTTAGCAGGGTAGGAAGGGCACACCCCCTTTTATTTTCATTTGAAATCTGACTTACGCAACATAAAATTTATCCTTTTAAAGTATACGATTCAGTTGTCGTTAGTATACAGTAGTCCCCCCTTCTCTGTGGGGGAATGTTCCAGGACCTCCAGTAGATGCCCGAAACCGCAAATAGTACCGAACCTTAGATATAGAGTTGACCCTTGACCATCGTGGGGTTTAGGAATGCTGACTGTCCACGCAGTCGAAAATCTGCATGTAACTTAAGTTGGCCCTCTGCATACTCAGATGCCCGGTTGCCAGTTGACCCTTGAACAACGTGGGTTCGAACTGCATGGGTCAATTGAGGAAAAATCCACGTTTAAGTGGGCCCACTCAGTGGAAATCCGCGGTGTTCAAGGGTCAACTGTACTGTTGTTCTCCTACACATACATATCTGTGATAAGGTTTAGTTTATAAATTAGGCACAGTCAGATTAACAACATTAACTAATAATAAACAGTTATAATAACAGTTATGATAATATACTGAAATAAAAACTTACGTGAATGTGGCATTATTAAGTAAAATAAGAGTGCTTTTCTAAATATATTCCCTGTTGTTACAGAAACAGCAAGCAAATTGTCCCAATTTATAGGGTGGTCCCCTTTTCAAAATTCTTGCCCACTGTCAGATCGTGTGTTTGGATTCGTGGTTGCAAAACCATCACCCTTGCCTCTGTCGTGGTTTGCCAGGGAGTGTTTGCCATCGTGGAGATGGGGGACGTGGGTGCCCAGGAAGCTGTCCTGTCACAGCCCCAGCATAGCCTGGGAGGACGTCGCCTGCGTGTCCGGCCACGGGAACAGAAAGAGTTCCAGAGCCCAGTCTCCAAATCCCCCAAAGGAGTGGCGCCTGACAGTCACCAGCTGGCCGCAGCACTAGCTGAGGTCCCAGACGTGGGGGCACAAATGGTTAAGCTGGTGGGGCTGAGGGAGTTGTCTGAGGCCGAGCGGCAGCTTCGGAGCCTCGTGGTGGCCCTGATGCAGGAGGTCTTCACAGAGTTCTTCCCCGGTGAGTCACCTCCCTCACCGACTGAGCCCACCCTGTCCTTCTCTGCCCCATGTCTGCATCCCCAGCCCTCAGTTAGAGGTGTGCGTTCGGTTGCTCTTTCATCTCTGCACCCTCTTATGTTCTTCTACCCCTTAGTCCCCCAGTGTCTCCTGACCTTTATTCTCTGCTCGGCACCCAGGCTGTGTGGTCCATCCTTTTGGCTCTTCCATAAACAGCTTTGACGTCCATGGCTGTGATCTTGACCTCTTCCTGGATCTGGGTGACTTGGAAGAGCCGCAGGTGAGTGACCAGGGAGGCAGCTGGGAAGAGGCAGTGGGAACGGTCATGTGACTCTGGGCAAGCGTGTTACGTCTCATCTGTTAAATGGGGATGATACGACCTGCCTGAAAGGGTTGTTGTAACTGGAGGAAAGTGAGCTTGGGTGTGTGTTAGATTGGATGGAAATGAATTGACATAAGATAATGGTATTTGTAACAAGAAGAAAAACATTTCAAAAAGGCACGTATACTATCTTATTTTGGCAAAAAAAAAAAAAAAATAGGACATACAATAAGATAATTTTGGGGTTATGTTTTTGCTTATCTGTATTTTCTGACATCGAATGTGTAGATTAGATGTAATGCTTTTGGAATAGGAAAAGGTCATTTTTTTTTTTAAAGATAATTTTTTACATTGAAAAGACTAGAGTTTTAGGTTCACAGCAAAATTGAGCAGAAAGTATAAAGTTCCCATATATCTCCTGCCCCACAAAAAGGGTTATTTTTAAAATTTCTTTGATCATTCTCTCTCTCTCTCTCTCTCTCTCTCTCTCTATTCTCTACAGAGAGCCTCTCAAAACGTGTCAGATGAAATCAGTTCCCTGCTCAGAATCCCTGTAGCACTCACGCTCTCTTGCTCCTTCCCTTTCTCTCTCTCTCCCTCTCTTCTTCCCTCCCTCTCTCTTCTTCCCTCCTTCTTTCTCTCTCCCTCTCTCCCTCTCTCCCTCTCTCCCTCCCTCTCTCTCTCTCTCTCACACACACACCTTCACCCCTTTACCCCTTAACATTCCAGTTTGTGCACCTGAGCACCGCGGTGTTCTAGCGCATAGGCACAGTACCGCTGTCAGGCTGAGGGCCTGTTCCACTGGGGCGAGCGGAAACCTTTCTACGTCTTTGATCCGCAGCCCATCCTCCAGTTTTGTTTGCCGCCTGACAATGGACTGTTGTGTTGTCTCTTTAGTCTTCTTCCATCGAGAATAGTTCCTCTGCCTTTTGTCTTTCACACAAAGACATTTTTGCGGAATACAGACCATTTATTTTATGGCATTAAAAGGTTATTTTTAATTTGAAAAAAAGTATTGTGAGGATTAAATGAGTTAATATGTATAAAGCCCTTAGGGTAGGGCCTGGCACATAACAAGCAGTGAGTCACAGGTGTATCTTGGGGACGGGAATGTTCCCTGGTTAGGGGACAGCAGGAGAGGCATTCACTACGCTCATTTCCACCCACAGCCAGCCCCAAAGGCTCCGGAGTCGCCGTCCTTGGACTCGGCCCTTGCATCCCCACTGGACCCTCAAGCCCTGGCCCGCACCTCAGCCTCCCCTCCAGACTCGCAGCCTCCAGCTTCTCCTCGAGACTTGGAAGCCCTGGACTTTGAAACGCCTTCCTCCTCCTTGGCACCCCAGACTCCGGACTCAGCCTTGGCCTCTGACACCCTTGCATCTCCCCAGTCCCTGCCTCCAGCCTCGCCACTGCAGGAGGACCAGGGAGATGGGGACCTGGGGAAGGCTCTGGAACTAGCAGAGGCCCTGAAGGGGGAGAAAACAGAGCAGGGAGCCATGCTGGAGCTGGTGGGATCCATTCTTCGGGGCTGTGTCCCTGGAGTGTACCGAGTCCAAACTGTGCCCTCTGCCCGACGCCCTGTGGTTAAGTTCTGCCATCGGCCTTCGGGTCTCCACGGTGACGTCTCCCTCAGTAACCGGTACCTTTGTTTAGGGGGGCGGTTGGGGAAGGCCAGCCGAGCATTCTGGGGTGGCTGAGGAGGGAGCCCTGTGTGGGGAGCTGCTGCACCTGCCGAGCCTCGAGGTTGTCCTTGTTTGGTCCCATCCCTCTTTCTGCCACTCGTCTCCTGCCTGGCTTCCATTTCAGTGTTTGTCAAATGTGTTTTTTTGTATACTATTTTTAAGGGATTTAGAAAAGAGTTCCAGGGTCGAGTAAGTTTGGGAAGCGCTAGGTTAAACGCCGACAGGTTTCTCCCTTCCCCCCTCCCCCACTTCCTCTTTCTTCCCTTTTTCCCGCTGCATCTCCTTTCCTTCCTTTCTCCCTCCCTTCCTGTCTTTGTTTCTTTGCCCACTTAAGGCTCTGAGCAGTCTTATAACAACGTCTGAGACGGGCGTACAGGAGGTAGTGTTCTTTGCACACCCTCTCACAAGACCAGTGTGTCAGCAGACACTTTGGAAATCTTCTCTTGGCTTTATTCCAGCTGGCCCCCATTACACAGGTCTGGAAGAAGAACTGGGGGCAATAGCTTTAGAGGGTTCCTGAGCCCTAATATCCTTGTCTCATTTGCGTCCCAGGCTGGCCCTGCATAACTCCCGCTTCCTGAGCCTGTGCTCTGAGCTGGATGGGCGCGTGCGGCCCCTCGTGTACACCGTCCGCTGCTGGGCTCAGGGTCGAGGGCTATCAGGTGAGAGTCGGGACAGACCTGGGGCTGAGCTGGTGTTGGGGCAAAGGAGAAAGGGAGGCAGGTACAGGAACCAGGGCTGAGAAGAACTGCCAAGGAGGGGAATGGAAGCGCCTCTGATCTAACTGGAATTATTATTTACCCAGGGAGTGGCCCCCTTCTCAATAACTACGCCCTGACCTTGCTCGTGATCTATTTCCTTCAGACCAGGGAACCTCCTGTGTTGCCCACTGTGTCCCAGCTCACCCAGAAAGCAGGTACAGCAGGCCGGCCTCCTCCCTCCCCTCCCTGCCTCATTAGCCTCATCTCTCCTCACCTCACTTAGACACACCAGGCTACCCTGGGAATGAGATCTCTGCTACCACCCCCATTTCTGCCCTCCCCCCTCCTTTCTCCCTCGTCTTTCTGCTTCCAGGCTGACCCTTACCTTTGTTACTTTCATAGGTGAGGGCGAACAAGTGGAGGTTGACGGCTGGGACTGTAGTTTCCCCAGGGATGCCTCGAGACTGGAGCCCAGCACCAATAAGGAGTCCCTGAGTGAGTGTGGGGAGCCCCCAGAGGACTGATAACTGATGTTACTCACAACAGTAGATGCCATACATCCCACGGTAACTGTGTGCTGGGCGTGCTGCTAACAGCAGCCTCAGGGGACAGCCGGTGTCATCATTGCCATTTCGCAGATGAAGAAACCGCACTTTGGAGTGGCTAGCATGGGGAATGAGCAGCTTCCGGGAAATGACGTTGGCTGCGGGCACAGAGAGAGCTTGGCCTCACAATCATAGGGGTCAGAGGGGCCTGGCTTCTGGCACTGTTCTGAGCCACTTGGAAAAAGAAGGTCCTGCTGAGGGAATGGCTCGGGTTCAGGGCCTGTCTCAGTTCTGGCCTCTAAGTGATGCCTTTTCCTTGGCCTTCCTCCTCCTCCAGGTTCCCTACTAGCCCAGTTCTTCTCCTGTGTCTCTTGCTGGGATCTTCGTGGCTCACTGCTGTCCCTGCGGGAGGGTCAGGCACTGCCTGTGGCCGGGGGCCTGCCCTCTAATCTCTGGGAAGGTCTCCGCCTTGGCCCCATGAATCTCCAGGACCCCTTTGACCTGAGTCACAACGTGGCAGCCAACGTCACCAGCCGGGTAGCCGGGCGGCTACAGAACTGTTGCCGAGCGGCCGCCAATTACTGCCGGAGCCTCCAGTACCAGCACCGATCCTCCCGAGGTCGAGACTGGGGGCTGCTCCCGCTTCTGCAGCCCAGCTCCCCTAGCTCCCTGCTGTCTGCAACACCCATCCCCTTACCCCCTGCCCCCTTCACCCAGCTCACGGCTGCCCTGGTCCAGGTGTTAAGGGAAGCACTGGGATGCCATATAGAACAAGGAACCAAGAGATTGCGGTCAGAGGGAGGTGGAATGGGGAATTCTCCTCAGGGAGGGTCAAGCAAAAGATTGAAACTAGATGCACAGAAAGCAAGCAGTGAGGAGGGGAAGGAGGAGCAGCAGGCATGTGCAGGGGACCACAGTGAAGACGGGGTGGAAGAAATGGTTATAGAAGTTGGAGAGACCATGCAGGACTGGGCCATGCAGAGCCCTGGGCAGCCAGGGGAGCCTCCCCTGACCACTGGGAAGCCTCTGGCCACCGGAGAAGAGCAGTCAGGCCCTGCAGCGCTGACAGAGCAGGGGCCCAAAGGACCCGAGGCAGCCCGAGAAGGGCCCCAGGGTGAGACAGGTAAGGGGGCGTCGCTCTCAGTGAGCTGGCGCTGTGCCTTGTGGCACCGAGTATGGCAGGGGCGGCGGCGTGCCCGGAGACGCTTGCAGCAGCAAACCAAGGAAGGCGGTGGAGGCAGTGCCGCCAGAGGGGTAGAGTGGCTGGCGACTGAGGCTCGGGTCACCCAGGAGCTGAGAGGACTGAGCAGTGCTGAGCAGAGGCCAGAGACTGAGCCACTCTTGACCTTCGTGGCATCTGCCTCCCAGGCCGACCAGTCTCTCACTGTGACCCCACTCCAGGATTCCCAAAGCCTGTTCCCTGATCTCTATCACTTCTTACAGGTTTTCCTCCCTCAAGCACTTCGAAATCTCAAGTGAGGCCAGGAACCCTAAAGGGCAATAAAGCTGCTAGTTTAATAAACACTATGATTTTCTCTAATTTCCACCTGGTAACCTTCCACCCAGTACTTCTGCTCCCCAGGCCTTAATGCGGCCTTCTTAGAGGTGCCTTCTCTGGCCGCCCTCACATAGTTCTCAGCCTGTTTCCTTCTTACCATGTATAACAACGGCAGGGAGCGCCTTGGACTGTGTGTGTCTGGCACCTGGAGCCCGCTCAGGAGAGTTCTGGAGTGCCTGAGTGCTGCGTGGGGGTATCGAACAGTACCTGTGAGAAGAACCAAGTTTGCCTCCATGTTTACCTCGCTGCCCATATTTGGGAATGGTGGTGGCCTGAAATTTGGGTTCAGGGTTCTTCATCCATTCTCCCACTTAATTCATCCTGCTCTAAAATTGGGTAAAAGATTTTCAGACCTGAATATGGGTAAATGGCAAGCCATCAATTTGTCTTAAATTGTGAGCTCCTCGAGGGTGACAGGAGGTGGAAGGGACATGGCTATGTCCTTTAGCCCCTACCCTGTGCAGGCTCGCAGACTAGTGCTGTTCTGGCAGTCACAGCATCCCAGAGCTGCGAAGTGGTCGAATGGGAGAAAACTTCAGTTTAACAGAGGGTTTCACACTTGGGCTCCAATTAGACATTCGTGTTCTCTAGAAAACCAGAGCAGGTCAAAAGGGATTTGGCACCCTGCCTCCTGCACGCAGTTGTGTCACAATCATATTAGGAGCTTGGCAGGAACTCGTATGAAGTTTCTCCTCTCGGCCTCACTCATGTCGCTGGCCGGAGGGGGATGCCAGCGGTACCCGGGGCGGCGCAGGGATGACAGCTGTGCCACGTAGCAGCCAAGGGGCCGTAGTCCAGTTAGTTCTCACAGTTTCCCCCTCCAATCGCGCTTTCTCTCTACGTTGGGACTCCCATTGGCCATACCTGAGGGGGCAGGCCATTTAAATGCCCCACTGCGCAGACGCGAGCATTATTTTCCGCTCAGGCCAACAAGCCCCACCCCTTTGTTCCAATTCATCCGCCGCGGTATACCCAACTGTCGTGCGTATGCCTTCTATGCCGTCCTCGCTTTCCGGCTGCTGTTTCTCCACGGCTCTCCCCTTCCCCCCTCCCTTCTCACCCTGACGGGTTACTTTGCGGCAGCACTGAGAGCCCCACCCCCTTTCTCTGCGGAATCACCATGGCGGCTGGGGTAAGTTTGCCGGCTCTGGCCCTCCAGGTCACCCTATCCGATGCCATCCTCTACCCGAGTGGGACTAGCCGGCGTCAGAGGAGTTCTGGAGCCGAGTGGGGAACTGATTCGGGCTCTAGAGACCTTACTGTGGGAGCACAGGGCTTCCAGGCCCCGGAGGGGAACTGAGGCTGAGGCCAGAGAGGTGGAAGGGTCTGGGTTAGAGAAAAGACATGCCGTGCCGTATCCTGGCCGTCTGGGGCCTGAGAAAGGGGTTTGGGTTCATTGCCACCTTGGGACGCGGGATCCGGGCAGGTTGATGGAGCTTTTGCGACCGTTTTGTGGGGCAACAGTAGGGACGGGGTGAAAAGGAGGGCTTTTGTAGGCAGGTACGGCTGGCCACGGTTAAGGGTCTATCAAGGAGGTTTGGGAGGAGACTTTTCTGGACGGTGGAGTCAGACCAGTTGGGTCCCGCTGGCCTGGTTAATAGGAGGAGAGACGGCAACATCAGAGAACTCACTGCGGGACAGGACCGGAGGGATGGTGCGTGTGACGAGGAAAGCAAGGTTTTTTTAGGGAGACCGGGTTGATTTAGGAAGAGAAGATGCTATTCGGCATCTCCGTGGCTGTTCGGAGGGGGACTTGGAAATGTTTTGGTCGCTGTGTGTGTGCTAGAGACGGGTGATACTTTTGAAGCGTGAGCGGCTCAGCAGTGGAGTAGACAGATACTCGGTAACCATCAATGAATGAAACAAGGGCTCTGGGAAGGGAGGGGTGTATGTTTGTGGGCAGATGAGAGTATGAGGGAGCTGGAAGTTCTGGATTTCCTGGAGATACAGTTGAGGGGAAGAGAATGCTTCTCCAGGTGTCCTTAGGGAAGGTCAAAGCCGTCAACCTTTATTTAGCAGTTGGTGTGAGTTCTGTCCTCGGTATTTCGGAGGACTCTGATTACACTTGACAGATACTGAAGAACTTGGTTGACCAGCAGGAGTAAAAAGTTGAACAGGTTGAGATTATTCAGGGAAATCATCCCGGGAGGTGACATTTAGGACTGAGACCCTTCTACTCACACTAATATTTTTTTTTTTTCCTCTTTCTTGCACAGACCCTGTACACATACCCTGAAAACTGGAGGGCCTTCAAGGCCCTCATTGCCGCTCAGTACAGCGGGGCTCAGGTCCGCGTGCTCTCCGCACCACCCCACTTCCACTTTGGCCAAACCAACCGCACCCCTGAATTTCTCCGTAAATTTCCTGCCGGCAAGGTGAGTAGGGAAGCGGAAGCGGGGTCTTTGGTCTTGAGAACCCAAGTGGCCGTAAGATTCTATCACTTTGAAGATGACCTTCATCTTTAAAAGGGAGCTTTCCTTTTTTTCCCCACATTTTACTGATGATTAAAGTTTTTATTTTGAGCTAAATGCAGATTCCCACATTAATAAAGAAGTATACAGTGACATTTTATAAAATTTACAGGCTTGCTTTGTGGGAGAGAATGTTTTGACTGTTCTCAGTGCAAATCATGTCTATCTGCTATGAGCAGGGTTCTTGCCCCAAGGGGCTTACAGAGATGGAGAAATAACCATCCTAAGAGTAAAAGAGATCAAGTGCAGTGTGGGGACCACCATAATATTCGAATATTATAGATGGAGGTATAAGACTTGGCTTCTGATCTTTTGCTTGTTTGAGGGCTTTTATCTAACTATCTCATAATATTGAAGTGTGAGTTCAGATTGTAAGGGATATTGAGTTATTCAAACATTTTTGGTTCCAGAGTTTCAGATCATATCAAGAGTTTGGTTAGCAAGGGTTATAGCCTTATATAAGAACTTATCCAAAACAATTCAGTTCCTAGGATTGACTAGTGAGAAATTACTGTGTTATTTCATTTATCTCTTGACTGCTTTGTCCCTAGGTTCCAGCATTTGAGGGGGACGATGGATTCTGTGTGTTTGAGAGCAATGCCATTGCCTACTACGGTAATTCGCAGTGGAGGTGGGAGTAGCAGAGGGTGAGGGTGAGCTTGCATGGGCAGGGAGAGGACTCTGCAGGTATTAGATTGGCATTGGCATGACCCCAAGGTTCTGACCTTCGTGTTCTGCCTCTGCAGTGAGCAATGAGGAGCTTCGGGGAAGTACTCCAGAGGCAGCAGCCCAGGTGGTACAGTGGGTGAGCTTCGCTGATAGCGACATAGTGCCGCCAGCCAGTACCTGGGTGTTCCCCACCTTGGGCATCATGCACCACAACAAGCAGGTAAGCCTAGGAACTTGGGGAGGGGCTGGGGCGCCGGCTCCAGAGTTGTCAGACCCAGTGGAGGTGGTGTCTGTCAAGAGTGGGCAGAGGGAAGATCTCTGCTGTAGGGAGGTTCCACCAAACGATAGTGGAGCAGTTAGACCAGATGACCTCTAAGGGCCCTTCTAAAATCCAAAGGTACGTGATGAGCTAAAATCCATCTCTGAGAATGCATTCTGGAAGTGGAGAATGAAGCCAGGCTGCTCGATGAGGAAACAGCATCGAGAGCTTCATTTGCGATGCATTTAGAATAATCCTAGACTCCGACTCCATCGGAGAGGGTGGGGGTGAGCCAAGACTTGAAGTGGCCACCTTAGTTCCATTATTGGGGAGAGGGAAAGGGATTGGTAATCATCGATAAGTTCGATCGTTTCAAATCAACAGGCCACAGAGAATGCAAAGGAGGAAGTGAGGCGAATTCTGGGGCTGCTGGATGCTCACTTGAAGACAAGGACTTTCCTGGTTGGTGAACGGGTGACGCTGGCTGACATCACAGTTGTCTGCACCCTGTTGTGGCTCTATAAACAGGTAAGTTTATAAAGAATCGGGTTGGCAGAGGGTAGGTGGGTTAGAACCGAAGTGAGAGGTCTTCCAGGTTACTCTGTCCTGCTGTGAGGACTTGGATACGAGGGATTCTGAGGTGACAGCTAGTCTCTAGGAATCCCCAGATTGAGGACCATGACCGCCTTTCTTCTGAGAAGTTTAGTAATGTTCTGTTATCCTTAGTTTTCTGTTTGGCAGCTCAGAGGTTTTTTTTTTCCTCCTCCTGTAAATTATAAAACCAGGGTACTAATAATCACTGTTCGGGGTATCGGATCAAAGAAGATGACATATTTCAGATTGCTGAACAGCAGCCCTTGGCCTGATGCCGGTCCAGGGTGGTAATATGGCGATGGTGGGGGACAGCACCTGCTTTGTGCCGGTCCCCGTGCCAAGGGCCTGACAGGGATCATCGTAGTGCATCTTTCCTGGGGGATGGGTGAGCAGAAATGTCACCTGCCCAAGGGCAGCCAGTAAGTGGTGGAGGAGAATCTGAAGCCGAGTGCTGCAGAACCGGCACCACAGAACTGACTCCTGTGTTCTGTCTCCATGAGACGAGGATGTTTCCTCTGATCTTGGCAAACCAGAAAATGGTAGACTTTTTCATGAAGCTTCATGAAGCTCTTTAATTTAAAGGACTGTCCATTAATCTAAATAAACTTTGTGCTGTTGAATATTCTATACTTTCTGAACTTTTGCGATAATGCATACACCTATGTCATGTAGTTAATATAGATTGTTTTTTATTTAACAGTGAGTAATTGATAGCTCTCGCTTCCAACCTTTTTTTTTTAATCTTCATGTGAAATTTAAGATTGGAAACTGTAGGTGTAAAGTGGATTTGTAAAAGGATTCAGGCACTATATAAATATTATTCTAAGTAGAGTCATAGTAAATGGAGGATGGGACCAAGCATTTATTAAATTGGGCTGAATTGCAAAAAAAGGGATTAGGAAGGTAAATGGGAAGGAGCCCACTGGGGAAGACGCTACTCTTAGCCACTATCTGAGGGAGTGAGAAGGAGGAGCAG